TTTTTTTTTTTTTTTTTTTTTTTTTTTTTTTTTTTTAATTTAACGATGGTCATCAACACAAAACAAACAGCGCGAACACGATGCGATTTCACCATAAACCGCGGAGTAACTTTGGATAAAATGAGGAAAAATAAACAAACAACGAGTTTAATTTATACATCGGTATCCATGGCAACCGATTAATAACGTGCACTTTATAAAAACACCCATCGATGGGGTAAAACACATACAGTACAGATATATTTGCAATAGGATTATGTGATACATGCAATGAATCGCGAGGTACGTGGCATATTGAATCGAAAGCCGGAGGCGCGATTTTCGCTCTACACACCAGGAACAAGCGAGTTTACCCAAAAACGAAAGAAATCCCATGGTATACTTGATGTGCGAGCATTTCGAGGAGGAGAGGTGTGCGCGAGGGACGATCGTGCACTTTCCGCTGAGAAATCAAAGAGGCGTACCTATAACGGTAAAAACCATTCCACCCGCCTATACATATATATATATATATATACATGTATGTGTGTGTGTGTGTAGGTAGGTATAATACACACACGGAGGGACAAAAGGCCGAGCAGCGGAGGGTGGGTGGACGAGGGCACTCCGGGGAGCGTGTTCCGCTCGAAAGCGGTTCTTCGGAGGTGACGAGGCAATGACTATATATACACACACGGCTCCTAGAGAAAGACGCCGACAGCGTCCCCTCACCCGTGCATGCACTCGCTGCAAGCTAATTCACATAAGAAATGACCGGGAGGTAGGGGCGGCACGGACCGTCCGGGGAATCATTAGCGCGCAAAACAGCCCGAAGGGACTCTCTCTCTCTCTCTACATGCTAGTAGTGATGCCACTGTCAGACAGAGAGACAATGTAGCGGGGCATTTCTGAAAAGGCAGCCGAGGCAGCTGCAGCCGCTCCTTAACGGCACGATGGGGGTGTGGATTCTCGCTTTCGCTGCTCCCCGCTCTCTCTCGTCTAATCCGATTTTATTACAAATGGTATATCTGTTGCGCTCGCGTGACTTTGATGTTACGACCGGCGCGATATTGCAAGAGACGCGCCGATATTATGCACACCCGCTCGCCATCTCGCCTCGGCTTTTTTTATTTCCCCTTCATTTTCTGTTGTTCAGCGTTAAATTGCAAATAATACAAAATTGAATATCAGTGATGGGTGTGTCATCATAAATATATATATGTCGTTTGGAAAAACGAGAGGTTACGGTGCAGGTGGTGCACATAAATACGATGCATACGGTAAAAGCTCGGGGGTTTTATTCAATTGTAATACGTATAATTATGTATCCAAGTCGTTGTGCCCCGTTTTGTTATTTATACGGTGAGGTTTGTCAAACTTTTTTTAAACGTGCACGTGCTTTTTTTTTTTTTTTTTTTTTTTTTTCGCGTTTAACGAGATCTCACGGGGGAGACGCGTAAGAGTACAACACACGCGCTCTCACTTTGCCAACTTTCAAGTATTACAGAGATTTCAAAGGTTGCTTAAACGAGTGCGAGGAAAACTCCCGGGCCATGTGTACGTTAAACATGTTTCCCCCTTCCCCCGCGAGAATAATTTAATTTCTAAATTTTGATGACGGGCAAACCCTCAAACCCTCGTCGCGAAAGCCCCATCGCGTATAATTGTGGTAGCGTATAGGTGTTTACGTGATATTTATGAGATGATCCAAGTGACTCTATGTCAATTTTAGGTTACAAATGTATGTTATGTACTCTTTTTGTTTCCCCAACACATACTTGTTTCGGGACTGTGACATATCTACTCTATAAAGTGTTTACACGTAGCCTCGAGCTTGTTTTATCGGAAATCTTTGTAATTTGTGTTCACAGGGCAGGTACACCTAAAACAACTTTGATGAGTACCCGAGTCAGCTAGGGGAGAGCTGCATTTATTCGATATTATACTGCAAAATTACGCCCCACCAAAATGGTCAAGTACTTCGAGAGCAGCACGATTTTTCACTTCACGTGGGAACAAGTCGCCCAAGGATTTTGGCGCAGATATCCAAACCCCAACAGGTACAACCAACTAACTATACCTATGAAAGAAAAGAAAAGGATTTGCGAAGTTGACTGGCTTTTTTCCCCCCCTCCTCTGTCCTACGTATACACATGTAGTTCCCACGTTCTGAGCGAGGATACGATCTCGAGGGAGATCAGGGACCACAAGCTCTACTCCAAAAGATTGCTGAGCAAGACCAACCGGGTGCCTAAGTGGGCCGAGAAATTCATCAGCAAGAACAACAGCGTCAAGATTCTCGAGGAGAGCATAGTCGACCCCGAGGAGAAGGTCCTCATCACTTACACGAGAAACTTGGGCTACACCAAAGTCATGGTAACAAACCTTATCTCTTTTTTACCTTTGCCTCGATCGCCATGAAAAAACTGATGGAAAATTTAATGGCCCCCTTTTGTTTTTTGTTCTCTCTGTCTTACTGGCGACTCCAGAGCGTCGTCGAAAAGGTGGTGTACAAGGTGGCCCAGGACAACCCGGAGTGGACCGTGGCCAAGAGATCGGTGTGGATCGAGAGCTCGGTCTTCGGCTTCAGCCGGGCCATCCAGGCGTTCGGGCTCGACAGATTCAAGAAAAACTGCATGCAAATGTCCGCGGGCTTCGACCACGTGCTCACCCGCATGTTTCCCCATTCCGCTAAACTAATCAATTCCGAGCTATCCTGAATCATTCCTCGTTTTACTTTTGTATCGTTGATTTGTAGTTTATGATGGTTAAGGTGGGCAGTGGGGGGGGGGTGGGGGCAAACGAGTGCTCGACAAGGCTGTGCGCGCACGAGAGATATTTTACCGTGATACACAAACCTCGTGGACCGACTGATTCTATGATATTGCTACGATAAAGAGTACATTTGATCAACAAGTATCTCCAAGTGTTGAACAGTTATTTTTCATTCCTATACATATATACGTCCACCAAAGCCTCCCCGGTCGTCTTACTCACCGTCGGATAGGCCCTTGTCGCGGTTCTTGTATCCCTCGTCCTTGACTCCCCTCTCGGCCTCCATCATCTCGAACTCGTTCATTTTCGTTTTGTGCGGCAAGTCTCGGCCGTCAGCGTCGGGCCCCCGCCACACGGCGTAACCGCCGTTCCTGTCCTCGAGGTCGTACTCGTCCGAGTCGTCGTCCCGTTCGAGGGAATCCTGCACCAGAGTCGTCACGTTCATCCGCAGTCCTGCCACGGCTGCTGTTGCATTCGTTGCGTTTGTCGCGGCAGTGGTGGTTGTCGTCGTCGTTGCTGCCGACAACGGACCTCGCTCGGCCTCTAAAACATCGAACAACCACATATTTTCGGTCAGCATTACGTAGAATAATCATACGAGTACATGGCGAGGCTTTGTGATTAAAATTGACGATTCACCATCACCCGTACACGTTTGTTTGAAACTCGGGCTAATTATGTGCTGGCTAAATGCGATCATTCGGCCAATTTGCTTCATCGAGACCGATACGCGCTACTAGCGGTCAACAATTAAAGCAAGACAAAATAAGCTATCTGATCTGATGGTACGAAGAACGGAGCGTGTATCTAAAGTTGGTGATCGGCAGCAAATCTCTGTGCTGGGTTTATTTACGAACTATATACGTCCTACAACGTGCAACCGATTCGCGTGACCCGATAACGTCACACTATATACTCTCATGTACACGCGAGAACCGCAAAAAACGGGATAAAAGTGCGCGCGTCAAACCTTCCCGGTGCATACCTATACATCCGTGTACAATCCACAATCAAAGGTACGAATGTAGAGACAAAGTGACGCGTGCCACGCTCGTATATACATGTGTATCGGTACAGTAACTCACGCGCGCCAAAGAGGACCACATAAATCAACCGCCAACCGAGAAGGAGCCTTCCGTTCCCTCTCGTTTTTTTTTTTTTTTTTTTTTTTTTTCCTTCAAACTCCTTTCCCTCTTAATCCACGGAGATGACGGCCGATATTGAGATTTATCGAGGCTGTAGCCGCCTTGAAACCTTCTCGAATTAAGTGGCATTATACGGACACGTAAGTACGGCGTCTACCGTCTCGTTAGAGCGGCCGTTCTTCGTCGCGGCGTCAATTAATCGGTGTACGTATTTTAAACTACGTCACACAGCCGAACGGGACACGATGACGCGGGCGCCTTGTACAATATATATATATGTATACCTCTACGTGTCCAATATCGGTTTTAGATGTGTGACGTATAAATAGAGGAAATCGACGATTCCAATTGTCGTCCGACGCAGTTTTAATCCAGAAAACGTTATAAAAATCGGCACGCGAACTGCCAAAGGAAAGCGTTGTTTTATTCATGAGTTTCGGGGGGGACAAACGGTTCGATATGTATATATAGGTGTGAGCGTGATGCGGTTTGTAATTGGCACGCGGACGAGGAAACGTGACGCGCGCGAAAGTCAAGGAGTCTTTACTTTTCCGTTAAAATCGTGTGTATACGCGCAAAGTGGAGTGAAACAGGTATAGGTGTATATTTGTCCATATGGGTAACGCGTGGTATATTATTGCATTGTTTATTTTTATTGTACATACTATAGAGATCGGCCTAACTCGAGCGATGCTCGTGTACGCGTCGTTCTTGCTCCTTCCTTTTTCTATTGTACCTTTATATTTTTTAACCGCTTCGCATCGACCTCGAGACACTCGTTAAGACGCCTTAGCGAAGCGAAATGCCTGTGGCTGCTCCAAAGAGCACTTTTATGCCCGCCTCTCTCGATCAATCGGAGACCAATGCAGGCGTGTCTAACGACATAAAAAATTTCTTTTTTTTTTTTCTTTCCCTCTTCTTGCCACGACCGACGTCGCATTTTTCACCGGATCCTCTCTGTACACGGATTATTAATCTCCCGGTTGCTGTAATTGAGTTTTTGTGTCGCGAAGCTCATGATTATTTCTGCTCTACTTCGGTCTCAAACGATCGGCAACTCATCTAACCGATCAAATCAGCATATCTATATTTATATCCTTGTGTTATACAGGTACGGTCAGAGAGTTATCTCCTCATATGTGCACAAAATCCAGTACATCGATCAAACACACGCCCACATAATATGTATATAAAGAATCGGTATAAAAGAGTCCAATTGTCCTGTACGCAGCAGCAGCTTGCTCAGCGTTTCTGTAAAAACAAGCGTAGCTCGCGGTGGGGTCGTCATTAGCTGTATACACTCGTGCCCTATGCCTACGTGAAACGCTTGTTTTGCAAAGTCGAGGTTGCATGGCGGAGAGAGAGAGAGAGAGGGTATATAAAAACCGGTTTTTCGGCCGACGTATCGGTACAGCAAGTATACGTATACATCGTATCGGAGAAAGGAAGTGTGTGTCAGCTGCTAGTCGTCATCGAAGCGTACGTGTACATTTTTATCATTTAATTGATTATTTTTACACGGATGACTGCCGATCGACGTGTGCGTACCTAAGTGAATTGCTGAAAGTGATCACAGGTGCGCGCCCAAAGTTTCTTTTGTTCCCAGGTGGATATACTTGTGTTTTGTACACGCGTCTGATTGATCGTTTGTATCCCTCGCGATGACATCTTCGACGACCTTTGTTCCAAAAGGCGTGAAATCCATATGTACACTTATTGATCAAGCGCTGTTATTTTCTCCCGAAAGCGCGCTCGAGCGAAAAATACCGGTATATAAGATGAGAGAAAAAACGATCGAGTACATACAAGTGGGTACATCTTGATCCCGATGGCAATTTCTTTTTTTTTCAATAAGTTATTCAAAACTCTAATCGATTGTTATACACGAGTATCGATGATCCTTCCCCCGTTTTTTAAAGGAAACCGTATCACTCGATTTTCAGACGTCGAGTAATCGTCCGTATGGCTGTTCGGATGTAAATGAACTTTCGAACTCGTTTATCGAATCCTCGACTAAAAAAAAAAAAAAAAAAAAAAATAGAGATCGCGAAAACTTTCTCCTACTATGCGCGCTTTCTCGTAGTCTGCCGACCCAACCGCGGCGCTCGTCGTCTGTGTTCAAGGATGACATTGGCTCTCAGTGTAAATACATATAGGTACAGGCACGAAATTTTAATTGTATATATATAAAAAAGTTATAATGCTCTTTTCCTCGTAGAGATTGCCGAAATGAATCTCGAATGCGGTACTTGGGCCATGAAAATTAAAAAAAAACAGTATTGGGAGTGCACCGATTTCTTGGAATCGTGAAAATATTTACCAGAACAGTTCCTTGAAGTAACATTGTATTTTTTAAATTAAAAAAAGTATTATCTCTGTTCTGTTTTCCCAGTGTGGGTATCGGTACAAGAAATCGGTTGGATCTTATTTTCTTCCTACGCTCGATCAGTCACGTATACACGCCGCTCTCCTACAGCTCTCGAGAAAGAAAAAAGATCGAGACCATAGAAGGAAAAAAAAGGTATACATATACCTTTAAGGTATAAGAGCACCAAAGTACTGGTCACGCGACACCTTTGACCATGTAATCCTTCCTTTTCTCTTTATTACTTTTTTCTTTCTCTCTTTTACTTTGTCGTTTATTTATTTTTTTTTTCTCACTTAATTTTTTTCAACCCCTCTCGCTCCTCGTAAATCCTACTTTCACGTCTGAGAAGCCAAGTCAGCTAACTCTTGTACGCGCGTCCTCTGTTCCCGTCACGTGCAGTTCCTTTTCACGATTTGTCAGCAGCCACACTTTTTTTTATTCTCCTCCTCCCTTACACACACACACACACACACGTGTATATCCAACTCGTTAATTCATTGATGCGTCAACTTTTCTTTTAGCGCGAATAAAAGGTGTACCGAGCAACCTGGCCAGCCCTGGTAACAGACATTGTTCTCAGTTTGGTCTAATTGTTTTATTACCCGGGCTTTTTGCTCTTTACGGTGCGAAAAAATCGCGAAAAAGGGAGATCAATTTTTTTTTAAGCTTAGCTGAATTTCACGGAGGAAACCAAAGAGTTGTACTCTTCTTGAAAAAACTTTGCATTTTCTTAATTCAATGAAAAAAAAAAAAAAAAAAAAAAAAAGAAGTGTAATCTATATTATTTAGACGTATCCTAAAAATGGCACTTTTTGAGAGAAAACCTAACGGAGCATCTTTTGGGATGTAAAAATGTACAACCGTGTACATAAAATCCTTAAAATCGTATGCGCGTATTTTAGGGTATATATGCTCGATTAAGTATACCGTATATACCGCGACGATAGAAGCGATAAACGTCAGTCACCCAACTGCATAATGGCCCCAACTGCTCCGGAAAGCTCGGCAAGGAGAGAACCAAAGAGAGAAAGGGTAATCGCCACTCAATGAGGACTTTTATACATCGGCTAATGCTTTTCGGAACAATAGTAAGTGACGACAACTCATGTTTATCAGCGAAACTATTTGAGTTACAGTACACACACCGAAACAAGTCATCTCAAGGCATATCTGGCAGAGTAAAATTTATTTCTTTTTTTTTTCAACCTCAAGAAGAAAATTCAGCGAAAGACGCACACCGAGAGGAAAAAAACCAAACGAGTCGACCATTACCTACGCTAAGATACTAACTGGTTGCAATGATAACTTACGCAAGATACTGTAATAGCCCTGGAGCTGTATACTTGTATAGAGTTTCATTGGATCGGTTGAAGCGTAATAATATATATGTGCACAGTGGGCATATAAGTATTTATGCTTACGAGTGTAGGTGTAATAAAAGAGGAGGCCGGTGTCGTTGGGCCGAGTGCCATTGGTCTATCGAAAGGGAGGGGGGGGGTGACTGTATACACCCCACCGCACTGCACATTACGAGCCAAGAGGGAGAAAGAGATAAACGGGAAATGTATCACAATATATACTTAAAAACCGGTCAATTAGCGTTTTTATCACTCGCGCGATAGTCCGCATGTGTAATATGGTCTAGTACATGTTTATTGAACCACGCGCCCGAGAGTCTCCGTAATGTGCATGCTAATTCGAGAATAGAGCAAAAGCAGACCTATACACAGTTTTCCGTTGTACTTTTCGCGCCTGAGCTTTGCCTCTCTCCTTTGCTCGTCAAGACGTACGGACCGAGAAATTCCTAGATCGATCATTTATTTAAACCAACGCCCACGTGGATTTTATTTCCCGCTTGCACGATGATTTCACGTGCTACATTGTTCACTAAATCATAGGGTGTTGTTTTCCATGAATATTGTTGCCATTACCGTTTTATTTCGAGAGTATTTAGTCTATAATTAGCAGGGGTGTACATGAAGAGAAAAAAAAAAAAAAAAAAAAATCCATTTCACTTTTTAGTTGACACA